ATTGAGCCTGCCCTTGGGTTTAATGTCAGTATGGACCCAGGCTGGATTCGAACCCGCCACCTTAGGTGTATGTGGCTGGCGCCTTAGCTGCTTGAGCCACAGGCGCCAAGCCAACATATACATCTTAAAGCACAATACACTGACAATCCATGAATGTTCCACCCCACCCACAAAGTAAAACATTACTGGTACCATGTCTAGCCTTGTGCCCTACCTCCACCCCTGGGAACCACTGCCCTGGATTTTCTGTTTGGCAGTTGTTTGTGTCTTTGCTTTTTGATAGTGTTTATAAAGTACACCTTTACCACATGTTTGCAGGTGGTTGCTGAGAGCCTGTCGGTAATCCTTAAGAGCATCCTGACAGCTTTTCTTGTGTTGTGGTTGCCTCACTGGGGACTGTACATTTTCTCTTTGGCCCAGGTAAGAGTCATGGCTTTTAATTTTTTATATAACCTATGTGTCTTCATTTAGTTTTTCTTGTTCCCACTACTGTGTGATTTACATTCTAGTACTCATTCAAGTGGAGAAGACAGAAAGTGCTAGAAGGCTGGTCCTAATACTGCTTCTCCTCTGGCTACCAGATCCAACATGTTTCACACAGTCCCAGGGACCTGGTGAGGGCCACACACTCAGCCTCATTGTCAAACATCAAAAACTCCTTTTAGACTTCCAGTAGGCAAGCCCGTATCAAATTGATCTTGGATTATCTGATAGTCCTATAGAGCAGAAAAAAGCAGTGAGGAGTGGGGTGGTAATCGAACTGCATGTGTATTATTTTCCCCTGGATTTCAATCAACAGTTTGCAAAATGGGAGGAAACTCTACCAAGCCTGTTTCAAACTTAGATTGAAACCTCACATAATTCAGAAGGCACGAATCAAGTCACGGCAGGTGACTTGAAGCCAATTTTGGCTTCATTTCTATCTCATCATTTTCTAGTTCTAGTTCACACTTCTAGTTCTAATAAAAAGATAACTAGAGTATAAGTACTATTTTTAAAAATATAACTTAAGATCAAATAATTGTCAGAAAATCTTATAGTGCAAAGTGGTTTGTAGTTTTTAATTAAGGTATAGGAAGACAAATTAATGTTCTTAGTTATGATTTATATGAAAGGGTACTTGTCACAGAGGATGTTGGCACCAGGTAGTGTGGCTCACAGCAGTGTTGCCCGTGTTTTAAGAGCTTGAGACATGAAAGAAGAAGGATGGTAGATCGTGGGCTCAGTCTTTAGGCACTCTTGGGACCAGGGAGCAACTCTCCTTTCTCCTGCCAGGTGCCTTTACTACAGTAGTAGCCTTGGGACTGCCTGGTACCTGAGTAGCTGGGACTATAGGTGTGTGCCACCACACTCGGCTAGTTCCCCTCCAAGATGGGGCTGGGAGGTCCCAGTTCTTCTTGAGCCAATGTGCACTGCTGTTTTCTGGAGAAAAAGAGAATTAAAGGGAACTTGAGCAAGGTCCCCTTTTGGATATTCTTCCTCCACCTGCAAACACCACCTGGCTGCTGCTCCCGGCTGGAAGCCATTCTTTTGTTCTTGATGGGCCCTCTTATCACCCTTTCCTCCCCCATCCTGTAGTAGCTTTTGCCCTGCCCATGCACTGGACAAAGAGGAGAGACTCAGCAGCTCAATTCTGCTTTGTAATCATAAATATCACAGGTTTCCGAGGTTTATGGAAAATCCACAGTCCTAGATGGCAGCCAGTCCCTGGATATTGGCGTAGTTGGGACATGATGCTGTCTAAGTGGGAAAGCTATTTGTCTGACCAAATACAAATCCTTTGAGAACTTACCTGACATTGCTGTGGCAGCTGAGCTAGTGGATGCCTGTCATGAAAATTATGTTCTGCCTGCCTAGAAGAACTTCTGTTCTCCCAGTCAAGTGAAGTATTGAGAACACCTTTATAGGCCAGGCGTGGTGGCTCACACCTATAATCCTAATACTCTGGGAGGCTGAGGAGGATGGATTGATTGAGCTCAGGAGTTTGAGACCAGCCTGAGCAAGAGCAAGACCCCATCTCTACTAAAAGTAGAAAAACTTTGCTGGGTGTGGTGGGGTACTCCTGTAGTCCCAGCTACTCAGAAGGATGAGGCAGGAGAATTGCTTGTGCCCAGGAGTTTGAGGTTACCGTGAGCTGTGATGCCACACACTCTACCCAGGGTGACAGAATAAGGCTCTGTCTCAAAAAATAAAAAAAAAAATTAAAAAGGCTGGACATGGTGGCTCATACCTATAATCTTAGCACTCTGGGGGGCTGAGATGGGTGGATTGCTTGAGCTCATTAGTTCAAAACCAGCCTGAGCAAGAGCAAGATCCCATCTCTAAAACTAGCCAGGCATTGTTGTGGGTGCCTATAGTCCCAGCAACTGGGAAGGCTGAAGCAAGAGGATTGCTTGAGCCCAAGAGTTTGAAGTTGCTGTGAGCTATGACATTACGGTATTCTACAGATGGTGACAAAGTGAAACTCCATCTCTTTTTTTTTTTT